ACACTTGCAAACAGCTTTGCTCCACTTCCTTCTGTGAAGAGCATAGCAGTGGTTTCAAAGCACTGGCTTTGGAAACACAGACAGCTATTATGAGGCTTTGGTTAAATTAATTAATTGCCTGAAAAAAGCTCCTTACACCACTTGTCTGAGGATCGCAAAGTGCCATGTTTATTACCAGCGTTTCAGTGATTCCACAGAAGACATTCAAACTCCCATGCAGAAACACATTTAAGCTCCAGCCATTTCAGGCTCACGCATCGCTGCCACGAACACACATTGGATTATAAACCAACCATATGATACAGTACAATCTCCTCCTGTTTTGCAGGAGCTGAAAAGCCTTCCCAAATACAGCCTTCTTATTTTTTAGGCTAGAATCTTTTATTAGTTTTTTTCATATGTCTCTTAAAGACAAAGCCCCCCACTTTTCACATTGTAGAAGAACTACAAACTGTGCACACAAAAGGCAAAAATTATCCTAGAAATATGTCTCTCAGCCTCATGCAGATGACAATTATGTCAGTGAAGAATGAAGCACAAGAATCTTGTTTGACACGTGTTACCTGCTGCATCTTTTCCCATGGAGCACAGGCACAGATCTGCAACATTATTTGGAAAATAATGGTGCTTGGGTTTAAGGTAGAAGGGAACTTAGGAGGCTCTAAGGATTGTTTGCAATAACAGAAGCTGCATTATTACACAATAAGAGATGTCTTGGTTAGAATAAAATCTTTATACTTGTGTACCAAGAAACTGTTCAAACCGTGACATAGCTGAGCAGTTCTTAGTCCACTCTAAGAGCTGGAGCAGCTCCTGTGCAAGTCTCCAGGATGCTGTGCTGACACTCACCCACTTCACTGTCCAGCTGAGGATAGCTGACATTCACATTGATAATATTTCACCAGTCAATATTTTCCTTTTTTTTTTTTAATTAACCCCCCACACACACCTATCCTAAATCCTAACCCTACAAGGTGGATAGAGTAGTGTTAAGTGCAACTTCTCAGCCAAATGAATACAAGAGAGAAGATCACTATTCCAAGATATTTAATAAGAAGAAATTACAGATTGAAATTCGGGCACAAGAAATTCAGCTAATGCACAGCTCCAGAATGGGTTACTTCTTACAACCAACATCACAATTTTTTGCTTTAGCGTGGACATGTTGGACTAACACAAACCACAAAATACTGAATCAGATGCAACACCTAGTGCTAAAAATCACAACAATAAAAAGTATGGCACAAGGAATGCTAAACTAAACGATGTGTAATTAGTATTTACTTTTGGCAATCCTTGTTTGGACTAATTCAGTGTAGAGATTCATTCCTGGTCAGCACCAGGTTCAGTTAACATACATTCTGTGCAAAATGTACTTTTAAATTAATTAAATAATTAGTTGTGTAAACATATCTTCCTTTCACAGAAAACCAACAGTGATTTGGGTATCAGAAACAAACCAGAGAACCCCAGACAATATTTTATTTCACAGTATATAGTGTATGTATATATAATCACCATATTCAGCAAGTAGGTAAAGTGCATGCCAGTAACAACTTGGACTGTAAATGAAGAACTTGCAGTGCAGAAGTACACTTTACTCCAATACTAACAAACTAATGTGAAGTAATACAAAACAAGGTAGAGTAACATCTTGAAAACAACATACTCTACATGATATACTGTACCTTTCTTTAAAAGGTAAGCTGAATTACTCTGAAACAGGAAAATTTCACATCGACTATCAGTGGAATAAATATTTCAAAGCTTCACTAGTTAAAAATATTGCACCAGAAGTGTTGTATTTGAAAGCAATACAAGAATTTTTTAATATAAAAACACTTAAAAAAAAAAAAGACGTATTACAACAGCTACTTTGAACTAAAATAGCTGGTAAACTGTAGGAATTGATGAAATGTGAGTTCTCTGCCACAGACGATAGATAAATGGATTACCTGGAATCTCTCCTATATGAAGTTAGTTAGCAGGGGAAAAGGTCTCCACTGTCCTGTAGTCTCAATGGAGCCAAAACCTATTAGACAACAACTGACAGTATTCCCTTTTATTTTAGAAATACAGGTCTACAAGAAGTCTTGAAATGCTTCACCACCAGTTAATGCAAATAAATAAAAGCCAGAAGATAGACGGATGTACCGTGACTATGTTATACAGATGTCTACAGCTCCGACCACAGGCCCCTCACCTGTGAATCTGGAGTAGACACACAAACCCCCTGTGATGCTCCACACAACTCATGAAGTTCTTGTTTAGAGAGTTGGGGACAAACCATAGGGAGATCCTTGGAAAACGAAGGACAGAGAAGTAAAGGGACAAGAGACCTTTCACTAATATCCATCAGAGACGCAGGAGCCCAGATCCAACGTGGTATTTAGGGACCACACTGAGTGAACACTGTGCTCGTGACACTCTGAGAACACTGCATCCCACATCAAGCTATTATCAAAAATATAAAACCACTGGTGCAAGTGAGGGATACAAACAGTGAACTCCAAGATCTGAATAAATTCGCCCATGAAGAAAATTACTTTCTCCACTTTCCTTCAATTCCCTCGCTACATGTGCAGTTTAAAGGGGAAAAATAAAACACATGGAAACGTGCAGATGATCATCGAAGATCAGCAGTCCTTTTTCAGAAAGCTGAAGCATGTATTTAACTTTGACACTTACTTTTTATATGTGATTTAAGGAAAACATTTATTGAGTGGCAAAAAAAATAATCTGCTCAATAAGCAGATGCCTCTACCAATACATGTACATTCATTAACCCTCTTCTCTTTATTTCCCAGGACATGGCAACAGACAGCTGTGGCCACTAAGTCTTCATCACTCTTATAACATTTCTGCGTACATTAAAAGCATGATTGAAACCTATTAAAACTATTTGCTCAGGGAACACAAGGTTTTATCACCATCATTTGCTCACCTCAGCATTAACTTACAAAAAAGCCTCAATGATTTGCAGTTGGACATCTGGCCTTTAGTTCAGCTATTATTAAAGAAAGACTTTGAGAGAGAATTAATAGGCTGTAATCATCTAAAGTAGTCTCATATGCAGTTCATTTCGCCTTCACTTCCTCACTGCAGTAAAAAAAAAAAACCACTTTCAAAAGCAGCAACATAAAAAAAGCACATAAAAGTTGATTCAGATTATATCACTTCCCTTCATATTTACAGATTTTCTGTAGTAAAGAATCCACTATCATTGTTTCACCGCAATTAAAAGTCTTGGCCTTTTTAATCCTAAAACAGCCTTCAAACATCATCCAAGTCTGGAAACATTTTCAAAACCCTCAGGAACTCAACAACAGCAGCATCGTATTCCAGACAATATTGCAAACACCTCCCATGCAATCAAAGTGTCTGTTAAAGAAACAGTCTTGAAGAATACAGTTCCTCGATCCTCCTCTTCCTCACGAAACCATTCCCACTGGCTCCGGCAGGCGCTACGTTAGTTTCTTTATCCTGCGGTTCTGCTTGTCAATATTCAGTGTCGCGCGGTCTACAGAGGTAGTGATGGAATCGAGAGCTTCATCCTGTCTCTCCAGCTCGGCTTCTGTCTCCAAGGCAAGGCCCTTCAGTTTCTTTAGTATCTGTCAGAAGAAAAGACTGACAGCTTTCAGCAATCGACCAGCTGGTTCTTTGAGAAATGTAATAGACCCATGGCAATTAGTTATTTCATTGCTTTAAATGACCAAATCATTTGTTGGAGTCTGCCCTGAAGCGTGCTGGTAAAAAGACACAGGTCTTGCTCTGATGAGCTGAATTGAGATGAACTAAACAATGAACCAAAGACCAGAAAAATCAAAGCTGAGATGTTAGGATTATTGGGGGGGGGCAGGGGATAAACTGGAGACAAAAACTCAGTGTAAATATCAGCTTTTTGCTGGCTCTGTTGTTATCTCCTTGGCACGTCTGCATCTTAGAGCAGTAGCTTCTCCTGAGAGGTTGCGCACGTTGAGAGCCAATGCAGAGAGAGAGTACGGTTGGTGCAAAACCAGGAGGGGATCGCGCGGCTGAAGGCGTAGCAAGGCTAGGCAGGGTCAAGGGACAGAAAACGTTTACTACAATCCACTAAAGAATGTCATTGGATGGAGCAAAAAGGAAAAAGTGAGACTTAGGCAACCAAACAAATAATTTTCAAGGGACTAGAGGGTGGTGTGGTATGAACAGACATCAGGCAGCCAAGAGGCTGACGCTGTACCTGAGATGAGAAAAAACAGATGCACTAGCTACAGTTCTATTCCAAGCTGCAAGCATTGCATTATGTATCAACCAGCTTACACTACACTTAGCAAATTACTGTTCATATGTGGGACTGTTAGCAAACATCCTGAACTACTCCAAAATTGTGAGGAGACCTTGTTGTCTGAAAAAGCCTGTAGATACTGGTCTGGACAGGGCAGAAGCCTCTGAAGTGAAAGGAGGTCAGGCTGACGCATTCTTAAGGCTAGGAGACATCCCTAATGATACCGTACACTGACTTATGGGACCTACTCAACTTTTATTTTCATCATTTCACACAACCAAGTCCAAGTGCAGAGATCCAAACAACACAAGAAAAATCTGCCTTAATTCCTTAGCCTGTAACACTGGCTCCTTTTAGCAGCAGTCCAAGGCATGAGTTATATCATTGCCTTTTCTTCCCTCTTGTGGCTACTCCCTTAATAAGCCTGCTGCATGAACTGAAAGCACCTGCCTGACAGGCAAACCTCAGCTGCCTTCCCTCAGACATATCAGAGGGAGATTTAAAAGCATCATATCACACCAACTGAAAATCCAGCTTCTCAGTCACTTCAGATCAGAAAGGGGTTGTCTCTGCTGGCCTACATGATCTGCTTCCTCAGGCAGCCATGGATGGGTCCATGAGGATATCCTCACACTGCCTGCTTAATAAGAGCAGTTTATCCAATCAGTTACAGTAAGAGTTACATGAGCATCCAGGTAACGCTACTGAAGACACCAGATCTGCAGCCTAACAAAATTAATCTGTGGCTTTTGGTAAAATAGGAGAACAGAATTACACTCTGTACACGTTTAATCTTATTTTTCTCATAGCAACTCGCAAACTCTGTTTTCTTGTTTTCCTTTTACGATATATATAATCTTCCCCCAGAAAGCTGCTGTGAAACATCAGCAGTCCCTTTATCCACACGTGGGGCTGAATTCCACAGCAGTCTCATCGTTTGCAGCTACGCAAGTTACTGGTTTGAGAAAAGCAGCGAGGAATATCATATCTAGCTGGAACGGCAGGGGAATTTTACACAGACAAAATGCTTTGACTAAAGCTGGACGTCAGCCACAGTAGTGAGATTTATCTCGTAAAATATCTCTCAGCTCTTTCCATAAATCACAAGCAGCTAGAAATACGTCTGTGTGAATAACTGTTTTTGCAATTTGGCTGCCAAAGCAAAAATACAAAACTAAATCATGGATCAAGCTTAATCTACTTCTTTCTGTTCTTACCAAAACTACAAGCTAAAACCCACTCCGTTTCTATCCCAAATGATACACTTCAGGTTCTTTCACTGTAAGAAAGCAAGGCCAAATTCCCCAAACTGGACGTGGTAGACAGGTGTAGGCCACGCACCAAAAAGAAAAATGATATGATCAGATCTATCATGGGTGTGATTCAGAACCTGGGTCTGGATTAAGGTCTTGCCTCTCCTGAGAAAGTAGCTGTATTACTTGGAAATGGGAAGTTCAGAGGTGACTCTCCCTCAGTCCTTCCTTTGAGCTTCTTCTGCATATATTTTATATCTACAAACATACATATAAATACATAAAATAAAACAGCCAGTGCTACACGAAATGACTCCTACCATTCATAAAGTCATGTATAACTAAGATTGGAAAAGACCTCTGAAGGTCTTCTGGTCCATTCTACCCAACTAAGAGCAGGGCCAGCTTCAACATTCAGCTGAGAGAAGATGACAGGTTTCAGCCTCCACTCCAGTAAACTTTTAATTCTCTATACTAGTTTAAGAGAGAGGAGACCTCACTCATTCAGTACATCCTAAAGGATGGCAGCGAAAGACATGTGCTTCATCATTTGCAGATAATTTAAAGATGGTCCACGCTGACATTTTTTCAGCAAGTTTACTAAAAAGTTTTATACAAGAGCATCCCAAAATTTGTTTCCCAGCGCAGCAGAAAAAAAGCAGCAGCAGCTGCCGACACTTTCTAGATCATGGTTTGATGCACGCTCCAGAATGGTCCCTCTGGCCATTCAACACCTCCACCTTCTGCTGCAACAAAGCACACACTTTTGGAGGTTTCTCCCTAAGCACCCTTAGCGGTGTGATAAGTTCAGCTTTCCTGAGCTGTGTCCTCACCCTGTTCATCTCTGAAATCCACAGAGGCGAGCACAGAAGGTAAATGTAGTGACAGGCAATGCAAGCCTCCAAGAGAGCTAGGCAGCAAAGCAGGGGCTGACACGAGAGGATGCAGAAAGGAAGCAGGGACACTCCCCCTTCCCCATCTCTCCAAGGGCACCCAACTTATTTGTAAATCAAAATTGTGCCAAAAAGGCCCAGGTTTGCCATGGAAAAACAGTTTATTTCTAGTTTCAAACCAGATTACTTTCAATAGGCTTTGCATTCATTAGAGCATACTTAACATTTAAAATACAAAAAAAGACACAATTGTTGAGAACAGAAAAGCTTTTAAAATACGAAAGCAGTAAAATGGAAACTCAGCTGGCTAGAGGGCTCTGCTCAGTTCACCTGCCAATTAGGCTCTGCCTTGAAACGCAGCGGGCGATGACGATGTGGTTACTCACACACAAAAATAAAAGGCAAGCGGCTCACTTTCATCTCTTAATTCTCTTTACCTAAGAGTCTGGTAATAAATCCCTTAACCCTTTGTCTGTCAGCAGCTTCAACCGTTCAAGCCGAGTGCTGCTACTGAATCCAATGGGACCCAAAACGGTTAAGATGCTTTTCCAGCACAGCTCACAGAGCTTGCTGGAAAGAGTTACTGGAATCTGAAGTCTGGCCAAAGCTGGTCACTATTTTTGCAAAGCAAAACGATGGCAAGATGTCTAGTTATCACTGCTCCAGTTCTGTCAGCTGCTCAGAGCAGCAGTGCCTTCTGTGCCAGCACGTAATTTGGACGGTGAACCAAGACATGAAAACTCAGCATGAAACTCTATCTGTTACACAAAGCCAAACAGCAGGTATGAGCCCATCAAAGACGCATTTTAAAGGCGCATTTCCTCAGGCACTGGTCAATCTTACATGGAGAAAGCCTCAGATTTATGCCACCAGATTATAATTTGGAAATTCTGACTTAGGTCCATGGCTCTGCCACAGATTTTCTGTGCGACTTCAGGCAAGTTACCTAATATTCCCACGCACAGAGTTCTTGCTGCAAAAAAGCAAGGAAGTAAATTTGTCACTGCTCTCCAAATCCACCCTGTGCTAAGTGTTCAACTAAGCAGACCTGGGCCTTGCTGGAAGAAGAGGCGTCCACCCTATCTACATACCCCGAGTTCTTGTACATACCATGGGGACCTAGATAACACAGTGCAGTTTAGGTCATGATGCATCCGCTCTCTTTTATGTACCTGTTTAAGGAAGAGTTCAAACACTGCTCATTCCTCTCTGCTTTGGCTTAAGTGAGAACTGAGCAACCAGCTTAGCTGGAGACAGTCACAGCACAGACACAAGATGGAATGATGGGAGAGGGCTCCAAGCCCATGAACCTGTCCACTAGTTAGCTCTATTACTTTATCACCTTGCCACACCACCTGAAGACCTAAACCCGAAGCCAGGCACTGTACAAACAGAGACTGTATCCTAAAGATCTTACAATGGAGACCTAAGTTTAATTTGGGGCCTGAGATGCCATCATAACAATGCAATTTAGCTAAAGCTTGTGAAATACATTCTACCATCTCAATACACTGAGTAACAAACAATAAAAATAAGATACAGTGTCATTGTGCAGGAAGTACTGCCAATTGCAGTTTGAACTCCCTGAAATCCTCCCTGAGATCCTGTGTTGGGTTTGCATGGCAAGGTTTTGGTAGCGGGGGGGCTACAGGGGTGGCTGCTGTGAGAAGCTGCTAGAAGCTTCCCCTGTGTCTGATGTCAATGCCAGCCGGCTCCAAG